AGTGGAGGTTCGTGAGGGGCAAGATCAGGTCGTACCTGATTGGCAAGAGGCTGCCAGACGCCGTGGCGATGATATCGGCGAACACCTTGAACGACTTGGGCATGCCATCGAACGAGTACGGATTGAAGATTGAGTACAATGTGGTTGCAGACCACCCTGCGGACAACATCTGCGTGAACACGTTCCTGGAGCCGTTCATCATCAGGAAGCCGCAGGACGTGGATAAGGCCTCCAGGGGCATCTTCCAGCAGACGTTCGCGAACATGTACGAGGAGTAGGACAAGCTCATGGCGGCCAAAATGACAGAGGTGAGAGACTACATGCGGAATAATGACTTGGGATCGGCTTGGGGGACCCTGGACTACACGCCGAGTTTCTGCTTCAAGCTCGACGGCGAAGATGGCGATGTTTCGACTGAACCACTGGGCGGGCTCCGCATGGCCGTATATGGGCGCAGCACTGGGGAGTGGAAGACTGAAAAGACCACGCTGCCATGGTCTCAGTGCCCGATCTTCGTCCAGCAGTTCAGTGGTCTCTCCATGGTGGTGATCGTAGATCCTGAGCGGGTCTCAAAAAATCTTGATTTCAACGGGCTGCTGGAGAACGCCGAGTCTGGGGCGCTCTACAATCATCGGTCGTGCTTGCTCGAGGCGGGCAGCGCTGTGTACGTGCCGATGGGTTACGTGCCGTTCTTGATCCCCATCGCGGCCAGCATCGACTGGAAGAGCAAGAAGCCCAACCTCAAGGAGTCCAAGCGCGGCGCCGAGGTGAAGCACCTGGCCAGCTACGGCATCAGCTACTTCTTGGAGGACCGCGTCCGCGAGAAGTCGCCTGCGGGCGCTCTCGCAGCCGCGGCCGCCGCGTGGGTCGCGGCCAAGACGACGCAGCTCCCGAAGTCGTTCAAGGCCAATTCTGACATGGACGCCTGGTTCGACGCCTGCGGCCAGGGTGCAGCTCGCGGCGAGATGGTCGACTAGGTGTCCCGTTCTCGCAACACGTTCCGTGCTTTTCGTTTGTCGGTCAGCGCGGCCATTCCCGCCAGAGTGGAATGACCGCGCGCTGGCCGACAAACGAAAAGCACGGAACGCCTGTCGAGCACAAGGTTGGCCCCCGCTGAACATGGGGGCGATTCTTTTGCTTGGGATGTGAGTACGTGTACTCGGAGTCCCGTGGGCCGCGCCGCCAGCGCGGCGAGGATTCGCATGGATGTTGGATCATCCAACTCTTGACTGTTGAAAAGGGTGGTCCCTCCCGACCGTGCTCGGGAGCGGGTGTTACCGGTGGGGCCCATCATATCTCCATCTGCCGTGCCGTGGACCGCACATTTTCGTCTTCTGGCCCCCCTCTTCCGCCAAAATCCCCCGCCCGAGGCCGCGCCAATCCCCTTCCCCTGCGGCGGCAAGCAAGGGGCGCGAAGAAACCGCTCGCAACGCACCTGAGTCGCCCAGCCCACCGAGGCTGGACGATTCAGGGCAATCAACTCAAGGTAACTGCTGGTCGTCGTATCCCCACCTCCCCTTTTCCCTCATTGTGCCTGCCCACTCCTCGCTCGCCTCCTCCGTGGATCAGCCCAGCCCTCCCTGTCCCTGCTTGCCCCTCCTTCCCTGCCCCTGCCCACCCTTGTCCCCGCCCCGCGGAGCGAGCCGCTCTTCTCCACTTCCTCAGTGGGTCAGCCCGCCCTCGCCCCTCAAGGGATGGCCGAACCAATCAGGGACGCCCGTCTCTCTCCTTCCCCCATCTTCGCCTCAAGTGCCTTTCGCCTCCTCACCGTTGACGCCCTCTCCTCCTTCCTACGCGCCCTTCGGCTCCCCCTCCGCCCCCCTCGCGACCCCGCTTGCCTGCCTCTGTCGCTCCTCGGTCGCCCCGTCCTCCTCCCGCCCTCAGCCCTCCCAACCAGGCCGCGTTGGCTCAAGGCTGCAGCTGCGCCCAGTTATGCGGGCGCGCGCCGAGATGGAGCTGGCGTTAAGAGCTAGTTGCTTCTCGTGCGCCTAATCCCGCGCGAGCCTCCTGGGCACGCGCGCGCGGTGGATATCGCGTGTTGGGCCCGTGATCCCTCGTCTATTCGAGGTTGGGTAGGCGGGCCGCCCGAAGTACGACGTCAGGGTAAAGACGTCGGTTGGGCACTCGACTGCAATCGTGTTGTCGGAGTGGTGCGACGGCGCGTTCGCTTAGAGCGTGGCGGATCATGGACTTCTTGGTATGCCTGGATGCTTCCGTCTTGCGCGAGGGCGGGGGGTGTTTGTGTTCGCTTGCCAGTGTTCCTTGGGTTCGTGTCCTGTGCACTTTGGCCGCTGCGCGGGCCTGGTTAGCGCTTGTTATTGTTTCGTGGTTGGGTGCGCACGGGAGATGCGTTCGCCCCCTTCGTTCTGTCATCGCGAGGTAGCTTGGTTGGGCGCGCTGGCCGCGCCATTTCGCTCTGCGTGCGCCCGCGTGCAGCCGAAAATCTGCAGAGTTGATTTGTCGGCGCGTCGGCAACAGTTGCAATGTCGATGGGCGCTGCGATGGCTCGTTACGTCTTCTGCGACGCCCTCGGGGGCGCGCGGGCTCTGCGTCGCTTCGCCTGGTGACCTCGCCACGCGCGGGCAGTCCTCGCGCGAGCCTCGCGCGGGATTCCTTGAGGGCGCAGTTGTCACCCCAGCGCTCCTCGCCAGGCCCTTACACTCGGGGCTGCGACCCCCCTCGCGGGTGCGACCCCCCTCGCGGGTGCGACCCCCCTCGCGGGTGCAACCCCCTCTCGGGGCTGCGACCCCCCTCGGGGCTGCGACCCCCCTCGCGGGTGCGACCCCCCTCGCGGGTGCGACCCGCGACCCCCCTCGGGGCTGCGACCCCCTCTCCCGGGTGCGACCCTCCTCGCGGGTGCGACCCCCCTCGCGGGTGCGACCCCCCTCGCGGGTGCGACCCTCCTCGGGGCTGCGACCCCCCTCGTGGGTGCGACCCCCCTCGCGGGTGCGACCCCCTTCGGGGCTGCGACCCCCTTTCCCGGGTGCGACCCCCCCCGCGGGTGCGACCCCCCTCGCGGGTGCGACCCCCCTCGCGGGTGCCCCCCTCGCGGGTGCGACCCCTCCCGACCCCCCTCGCGGGTGCGACCCCCCTCGGGGTGCGACCCCCCTCGCGGGTGCGACCCCCCTCGCGGGTGCGACCCCCTCGCGCCCCCCTCGGGGCTGCGACCCCCTCTCCGGGTGCGCCCTCCTCGCGGGTGCGACCCCCTCGCGGGTGCGACCCCCCTCGCGGGTGCGACCCCCCTCGCGGGTGCGACCCCCCTCGCGGGTGCGACCCCCCTCGCGGGTGCGACCCCCGGGGGGCGGGTGCGACCCCCCTCGCGGGTGCGACCCCCCTCGGGGCTGCGACCCCCCTCGCGGGTGCGACCCCCCTCGGGGCTGCGACCCCCCTCGCGGGTGCGACCCCCCCTCGCGGGTGCGACCCCCCTCGCGGGTGCGACCCCCCTCGCGGGTGCGAGGGTGCGGAGTGCGACCCCCCTCGCGGGTGCGACCCCCCTCGCGGGTGCGACCCCCCTCGGGGCTGCGACCGCCCTCGGGGCTGCGACCCCCTCTCCCGGGTGCGGCCCCCCTCGCGGGTGCGACCCCCCTCGCGGGTGCGACCCCCCTCGCGGGTGCGACCCCCCTCGGGGCTGCGACACCCCTCGCGGGTGCGACCCCCCCCCTCGCGGGTGCGACCCCCCTCGCGGGTGCGACCCCCCTCGCGGGTGCGACCCCCCTCGGGGCTGCGCTCCCCTCTCCCGGGTGCGACCCTCCTCGCGGGTGCGACCCTCCTCGCGGGTGCGACCCCCCTCGCGGGTGCGACCCCCCTCGGGGCTGCGCCCCCCCTCGGGTCCTGGGGTCTTGGGGTCCCGGGGGTCCAGGGGGGCCCCGGTGCCCTGGGGGTCATCGGGGTCGATTCGGGAGGTTCTGGGGTCATCGGGGTCCCGGAGTCCTGGGGGTCATCGGGGTCCTGGGGTCCGGACCGGAGGGGAAAGGGGTTCGGGTCGGTTCCCGTCGGTTCGGTTCAGGGGCCGCCCGGGGTCCGGTTCGGTTCCGGTTCTGGTTCGGTTCGGTTCTCGCCGGGTCGGTTCTGAATGAATTCGGTTCGGTCCGGTTAGGTTTTCTACGTTCTTGGTTTTGGACCGGTTCGGTCCGGTTCGGTCACGGTTCTCGGTTCTCGGCTCGGTGCGGCCCCTTCATGCTTGCATTCTTATCGCGCATCCTTATGGCACGGGTCGACTGTACTCATAAGGCAAAGAAATGGAGGAGAAACGCCAAACCGGAAAACTCGAGCCGCCCGAAGAGCTGGACCTAGAGGAGATCAGGGCGGCGCGCCCATGAGCACGGGGGAGCGGTGAATAATGCGTTCCCGTGGATCCGCGGGCCCCAATCCTCAGACCTTCGGTTTGGGCGGGCCCTTCCGGGGTAACGCTAGGGGGGGAACAGGCTCAGGGGGGGCGCACCGACCCCCAATCGCCCATTGATCGCCGATAGGGGCCCGATGCCCAATCCGCCCAGGAACGTTCGGTTTCACTGTCGGGGGCATACCGCCTATCTATCCGTGATGTATCACCGATTCCAGGTCGATGTTTCCTCCCCTGAGCCGTCTCCTCCTGTCGTTGCCCCTCAGCCCTGCGGGGAGCGGGGGCGCCGCGCTGGTCCAGGCCTCCCAAAATGGGTCTCCAAGGGCCTCGCGGCTCTTCCCCGATAGACTTGCGGGGCTGCAGCCAGGCGGGCCGATACATTGCGGTGGTATCTGACGTCGACCCAGATAAGTCTACGTGACTTCAGAGACATTCAGATAGATTTGAAGGAGTCGTGGAAGGCCCAGCGCGAGTCGAGGGACGGCAAAAATCGCTAAGCGCTTAGCGAACTAGGCTGGAGCAGATGAGATCGGAGGATCACGTCACATCGCCGATGCATCGGCGGGAGGAGGAGGAGGAGGAGGAGGGTGAGGGTGAGGGCAGTAGGGAACGCGTCAGTCGGGCCGACGCGCCCCGCCCGCGGCGCCCGCGACCCCGCTCAGCGGTCGCCGCCCTCGGCGGCTCGCGAGGCGCGGGGCAGGCTCGGCGCGGCGCTGGCCCGCGCCCGCTTGGCGGGCGGACCGCTCGCAGGCGCCCCGCGGGTGGCCGACGGTGGCCAGCTGCTGGGGCGATGGCCACGGCCCGCGGGCACAGCGGCCGCCGCTCGGCGCTGCCGCTTCACGGTCTGGCCGACCTCGTCCTCCATGTCCGAGACGATGCCGCCGCTGGCAGCGCGGAGGAGGAAGGCGACCTTGTCGAGGAAGGTCGCGTCCACTGGGAGGCCACGGGGAGGCGAGGAAGACTCCGCGCCCGTGGCGCACCTCGCCCCCCCTTCGAACTCTGCCATCCCGCAATTTATCACAGGGTGCGGGCAACTGTCTGGGCCAGCCGAAGGACCTGGAGGCGCCGCCCCCAACGGGACAGGCCCCTCCAGGTCTGCCGCCACGAGGACCGAGTCGCCCAGCACCTCAAACTCCCGCTCAGTGTCGGCGTGGGGCTTTGGCGAGAGCCGCTTTGGGATCAGCGGTTCGCACGAAGCTAGGCCGATCTCCCGCACGGATCGACCCGCAGCACCAACGCCTTCACGTACCGCATCCCTGATCGTGTCGTCCAGCGCGTGGTGGACCACCTCGTCCAGCGCGTCGTCGGCCTCCGTGCCCAGCGCATGGGGAGCGGCTGGCCCCTCCAGGTCTGCCGTCACGAGAACCGAGTCGCCCATCACAACAACATCCCGCTCTGCGTCGGCGGCGTGGGGCTTTGGCGAGAGCCGCTTTGGGATCAGCGGTTCGCACGAGGTTAGGCCGATCTCCCGCACGGATCGACCCGCAGCACCCACGCCTCCACGAGCAGCGTCCCCGATCGTGTCGCCCAGCGCGCAGTGGTCCACCTCGTCCAGCTCGCCGTCGGCCTCCGCGCCCAGCGCAGGGGGGGCCTGGCCACCTCGGCGGCCTGCGGCACGTGCAGCTGCTCGAGCAGCGCGGCGCCGAAGGGCCAGCAGCCTCGGGCCGATCACCAGCTCGGCCTCCTTCCTCACGAACCTGCGCTGTCCGCTGGCCTTCGGCCACCGGCCTCGAGCCAGCCGCTGGGGGCAGTCGCGGCCAGCCCGCGAAGGGCGGCCTAGGCACCTGGCCCGAAGGCCCAGGCCCACCATGCGGCCCGCAGCGGCCACGAAGCACCCGCAGCAGACGCAGAACCGCACGTCCAGGCGCTCATGGAGTCGAAGAAAGTGGGAGGCATGGGGCCGACCTCCTCCGATGTGCGGGAGGCCCTCCCGCAGCCTGAGCGTGGAGGGCCCATCGCGCAGCAGCCCTGGACAGCGAGATGCCATCCACTGCGAGCGCGCGGCGCGGGAGGCTGAACACCTGCATCGCAAGCAGCTGTCTCGGCTGTCCAGCGCGTGCGACGAGCCGAAGGCCTCCACCATGCTGGGCGCAGGCGGCACCTGGCGCCGTCGCCTCGCGTGTCGCACCGATGGCGTGAACTCGGCCTCGGCGCTCAGCGCGTCCAAGGTCGCCCGCAGGAGACGTCGTTTGACCACCATCGCCATCTGCTCAGCCTGGAGCACACGCCCCCTCTCGGGAGCAGGGAGGCGGGCCAGCTCTGCAGCCTCTCCTGCGAGGACGTCGGCGACCGCATTGCCCATGATCAGCCACGGCGGGAGGCCGCGCCGCGCGGCCTCGTCCATGTCCAGGTGTGAGTTCACGTGCTCCTCGACGAACTCCGACCTGTCCCTCGTCAGGAAGAGTTGGCCCAGCAGGGCCCGCAGGTCACAGTCGGCACCCTGCGGCCGCTGATCGCGTCTGCTCCACCAGCCCATGCAGACCGCCAGGTTGTCGGAGACGAAGGCCGTCGGCCCGAGGGAGCCCTGCGCGGCCAGCACCAGCGCGCGCAGCTCCCCGCGGTGCACGGTCTGCACGGGGCCGCTGAGGCTGCCCCAGACGGCCCGTTCCAGCATGCCGTTGAGCAGTTGGATCATGGCCACGGCGAGCCCGACCCGACGAAGATGGGGCACCTGCCCTTCATGACCCCCGCTGGCATCGCCGAAGAGGATGAGGGGGCGAGCTCGGAGCCTCGCCCGAACTCGCCAGGGGCCACGCTGTCAGCCCGATGGCCCTGCAAGAAGATCCACGAGTCGCCGTCGGGCGGGGCGCTGACCTCCGTCCAGCTGGCAGGGAGGAGGCCCCTGAGCCAGAAGGCGGCGTGCGCCTCATGGTCGGTTGCCGCTCGGCCGCTGAACTCGTCGCTGTCGTCGTATGCCTTGCTGCCCGTGTTGCACGGGCAGCTCCGGTACCTGTGGTAGGCGGTCTCCTCGGCCTCGCCACATCGAGGGCACGTCAAGAGCTCAGTGTCTCCGAAGACCTCCCTCTTTCTGGCTCGCGGCCACGCGCCTCCAACAGCGATGGTGGCGAGCAGCTCTTCAAGCGCGGGCCCCCCTGGGAGCTGCCTGAGCCTCTGGAGGAGACGCCGCAGGGAGCGCAGGTCGGTCCCTCCCTCCAGGCCAGCCCCGCACCAGTGGCCCGCCGCGCGCTGCCACAGGTCCTCTTGGACAGAGGCGTCGAAGGCGTCGAGGACGGCCTGGCAGGAACCCTCGGTGATGCTGGCCACGTCGGGGAAGGCCCACATTTCCCGAGATCCGTCCTGAAGGTGCCGCTCCCAACCTCGAGGACCCACTGGACTCCAGCCGTACTGCAGCAGCATAGCCTGCAGGGCGGAGACCCTCTCCTCGGGGGGGGGGGGGCCTCGCGCAGCCTGGCATGGATGGGAATCCAGGCGCGCTCGACCCGCTGGCGTATCTCCTGGCTGCCTCTCCATACCTCGAACCAGTTCTTGAGGAGCGCCCGTGGGAGGCGCCGTGCTGGATCCAGGGCTCCCGCGCGGAGGGCCAGCTGCGTGGTGAGGCACCTCCCACGCTTGACGGCGCCTGTGACTGACGCCAGCCGTCGTCGCAACTCGGCCAGCCTGCTGCCGAAGGCGCCGAAGATCTCGAGCCCGTAGGTCGCTGCCGTCTGGAGGCCGACCTTCTCGATGAAACCGCACTTCAGGTACTGCCGCGAGGCCTTGGCCATGCCACGGAGCCGCTTGCTCGCCTGCCTTGTCTTGCCGAAGCGCTTCGAGATCGCGGTGCGCACTGGCCGTCTGCCCGCCGCGAGGTCGACCCCGAGGCACGTGCCGAAAGAGGAAGCCTGGGCGGTGAACCCGTGCTGCTTGACGATCCTCGCGATGCTGCGGGCGTCCTCCAGCTGCGAGCACACCACCACGCTCTTGGGGGAGAGCGCGAAGCCCTCCTGCTGCATGCCCTGCCCGAAGTCGCGGATGCCCTGCGAGACGGCAGCAACCACAGCGGGGCGGGAGCCAACCGCGGAAAGGGAGAGGTCATCCACCCAGATCCTAGACGGCAGGAGCTGAGGCATTCCCTGTGAGGCCCCCGTGGCGAGCCGCTCCATGGTGAAGTACGTCATGCACTTGCCGAAGCGCGTGCCCGACCGCACGCCCTGAACCACCGACTGCGAGGGGACCACGAGCCTCGAGGCCAAGCCGTCCTGCAGCAGGACGCGCCCCGCCATGCACTGCTGCAGCTCCAGGGCAAGGACGGCGGGCGGGAAGCCGCACCGAAGGGCGGCGCGGGCAAGCCCCGCCCACGGCATGCTGTCATAGAACTTCTGGATGTCAACCAGGCCGTGCCCGTAGGAGACGCCCAAGGCCGCGTAGGACTCCTCGCTCACGGCCCGCGCGAAAACCTCGCGCAGCGAGGAGTTGCCAGCCACGGCCGCGTCCCACGCTGGGGCCGTGCGGCGCGACCACTCCCGCATGGCGTCCTCCCTGACCATGCTCCAGCAACGGGTGACCATGCTGAGGACGCCGATGATGCGCTCGCCTCCGCCCTTCTTCTCCAGGACGTGGCCGAGCACGAGGAGGAGCTGCTCTGGCCACGTGGCCGCCTGCTCAGCGGCGGTGTAGAGGTCAGCCAGCTCCTGCAGCGCCGCGTCAGGCAGCCTGGCCAGGTCGCCCACCGAGAACTGGTCGATGCCCTTGCCCGTCTTGGGCCGCATGCGCAGAAGGGCCCGACGGATGTCGACCACCGTGATGGGCTCCATCTCCTCGTACTGCACCAGCTCGCGAAGCTCGCCGAAGAGCACCTGCAGGTCGCTGGGGTCGTAGGGTCGCGGAGCCCACAACCCACTCCATGCGTCAGCCTTAGCGACGAGGATGTCGCGCGGGTGCACGAGGATGCGGCTGCCGACCATCACCTCGTCCGCGGCTGACTGTCGCTCTCGCAAGGAGCGAAACACCAGAGGGGTGGCCTCCTCGGCGCTGATCCACTGTCGGAACTCGCGCAGGGAAGCCTGGACCGCGAGCCTCCGAGCGCGCACTGCCGCCTCCTGAGCCGCCTCCTCCAGCGCTATCAGGTCCTCATCAAAATGGTGTGCACGTCCTCCAGGCTAGCGACCAGAGCGCTGAACCTGGGAGACCTTCCAGCGCGAGGAGGGGTAGCTCGCTGACCTTCGGCCAAAGGCCTCGAGCCTGCTGCAGCGTGCTGATGTCGAGGCTGCCCGATGGGGCGCCCACCGTTCCTGGCCCGATGGTAGCACCTCTTGGCCTGCGCAGGGACGTGCTGGCTCAGCTCGCACCCTGCTGCGCGCAGAAGCAGCCTGTCCTCGATTGCCTTCTTGCTGCGCCGTCGGAGCTTGCCAAGCCGACCGAAGAGCGCTGCCACTGAGGCCCACCAACGCGCTGCCACCCCGCGCAGGGGCTCCTTCCTCGCCATGGTGCTCGTGCCCTGCGTGGCGGCAGCATCAACCAGCTGGGCCCTCTTGCTGCGTGAGACGCTGCCTGCGTACTGCTGGCCATGCTGGCGGCAGATGGCGCGCTCAACGTGGGCTGCCCAGCCGGCGTACTGAGAGCTGAGCTGCACCAGGTGGGGGCCGCCGACCAGGAGGGCCGCCGTCTCGTCCTGCCCCTGAGGCGCTGGGGCAGCCTCGCGGGGGCCAGCGGCCGTGTCGCGCCAGACCGCGTCCTCCAGCAGCCACGGGCACTGCCCCCCGCTGCCGCCGCGACCATGGGGCAGTGGGGCGCGGGGAGTGGCCGTCCTCCCCCCCCCGCGCTCCTCCTGAGGGCGCAGGGAGTGGCCGTCCTCCCCCCCCTCCTTGCGACGGCTGCGGGGAGGCGGGGCGGCCGCGACCTCAGAGGGCTCCTCGGGCGGGCCGCTCTCGAGATCCTCGAACTGCTCCGCGGCAAGGTCCTCGAAGGGGTCCACGTCCATGTCGTCGAACCTCGCCGCGACGCGGCCTGCGGGGGTCGCGGGGGGGGGCCTGGCCGAACACGGGGGCCTCCCAGCCGTCGCTCTCGCTGCTCGCGTCGGAGGTGTCCGAACCCGCCGAGCCTGTGCCGGTGGACGCCTCCTCGAGTATCCTGGCCTGCACGTGGATGCCGTAGAGCTGCGCGTGGAGGTCCAGCTCCTTCTCCTTGGCGAGGGCGCGGCGATCTGCGTCAGCTCCAGACCGACCTCTCCGCGTGCTGGCCCTCTCCTTCCTCGGGCGCGAGGCCTGCGGCAAGCTCTTGGCGAGCACCAGCCGACGGCCTTGAAGCACCTCATGGCCTGCCCGAAACTCCACCACGAGGCCGCAGTGGGTCTTCCAGGGCACAGCTGCTGTGGCCCACATGCCCGCCAGCAGCGGCGCGCATGAGGCCGAGCACAATCCGTAGTCAATGTGCGAGCCCTCCTTGCCCGCGTCGCAGGTGGTGGCTACCTTAGCCTGCACTACCTGGGCTCCGACCCGCTGCAGGAAGCCCGCACCTCGCAAGGTCTCGCTCGGCATGTTGAAGTCGCCGATGACCAGCCACGGGATGCGGATGGCCTGGAGGAGCCCGCCCAACTTGGCGAAGCGCCGCACGTTGCTGCCTCTCCAG